CAAAGCAGAATTTAACTTTATCTCCGGTAGAATTCTGATCAGGCATTAGCTCCGCCTCCTCTTTTTTTTTTTCAAGCTAAGGACCCAAAATCCGCGTTTCTCTAACAGGGCTGCAAAAGAGGGGTTTGAGCAGAATGAGGCATGGCTACAATGGGTGATCTGTTTGGTATTTGAAGCAAAAAACTTCAAAGACATGTTTTGTATAGGTATGGCCCTACAATATATTTTTCCAATATAGCATAATAGGTCCACTTTAAGATAGGATCATGCTTGAAATCTCTACCAACCTTCTCCCTGGCAGCCTTCACATGAAGCATGTCGTGAAACAGACCTTGAAGCCTGCACTTCCTTACTGTGACAGTAAGAGGTTCTGCCCTAAAAAGGACTGTGAAATAATCATCTCAAAGCAGGAGAGTAACTGCAACCTGCAGGCTAACTGTCTGACTGGTCAGAGAAAAGAGGCCTTTGATCCGTTTCCACAGGAGGGAGAACACGTATAGATTTCATTGACTGAGCTAAAAGCAAGGAGTAATTGAAAAATAAATCTGACCATACCCACCGGCATTATACTTCTAAGCGATTAATTATTTAAATTGTTTGGGATTAAAACAGAATATTCAGAGTAGTATTGATTATACTGAAAGTCAGATGAAAAATTAAGTTAAACATCAAACTTTAAACCACATTTATAAAAAGATGATATCTCTAGATTCTCCACAGACACAAACTCCTTTTTTGAAACCTATCTTGTTGTGAGACAGAATGTCATTATCGATGTCTGAGACAGTGGCTTAGAGAGAAACATGGTTGAGATCTTACTGATAATAAAATCCAATAATCTCCTTTGCAGTGAAAGATAAGGAGGAGGGTCCGATGGACTCGGAAGCTCGGCCTATGAAGGATGAGACTTTTGGAGAGTACAGGTTTGTCATCTGAATGCAACTCGTCCTCTGGTGTTTGTTTTATACATCATTTAAATCCCAACTCCTAACAAAGGCCTGATTCCCCTGCAATGCTTTTCCTAACCCTCTGTGTCCCTCTCATTGTCCCTCCTCTCCCTGACGCCTGCTCCTGTTAAGCAGATCTCTAGAAAGGTATGCTGCGATGTTAATTGCTAACCCAAACTCACTTATTTATTATCCCCTGGCAATGCTTGACTTACCCACTGACTTTCCTATAACATTTTGTACAATCTGTATTATGCTGTATTTGGGCTGCAACACAAGTATTTCCCCTATCATTTAATCTGATGTTATTTTTCCATCTTTTAGCCAAAGGTGTCCTTATCAAAAATCTTGTTTGATCCGTCGAAAGCCCAAACATACACATTTGCTAGAATGTAAGACCAGTAGTGGAAGAGATACTGAGATATTTAACTTTAGTAAAAGTAGAAATATATCACTGTAGAAATACTCGTACTACATATACACATACAGGTAAAATCTCATACTACTACACATACAGTACAGGTAAAATCCCTGCATGCAAAACGGTACTAAAAGTATTCAAAATGTAATTCAAGTTTAATTTACCAAAGTAAATAAAGACAACAATGAAAATGGCCAATTGAAATACAATATATTACATATTTTTTGATTATAATTATTGATTAAATAATGTTACAGCCCATTTAATTACATTTTGATTTTAATTCAATATTATATTTTATATTTCTTAACAAACTGCCAAGTACCTTGTTAATTCCTTCTGATATAAATAATAAGATCATAGTTTTTGATTGAATATAGTTTGTATAATGTAAATACATACGTACATCACATGTATTCCTAAGAATTATATTAAGAATAATGTATTTAGTTACTTTCCATCTCTATGTAAGACCAAGAGAAGCAGGACATGAACTATCTCATTTTGGAATTACTTAAAAAAGTTAGTTGAATATCATAATATTTAATCTACTAATTCATTGTTTTGTTTGTTTTCGTTTGCACTTGTTGCCGCTCTTAGTTAACGTATATTCAGCTTGCATGTAGTCATATAGCGGGATGTTTTCAGAGAGAAAGATTTCTGAATAATAATGTCACCCTTTTTTACATTGCAAATAATAATATGTCTTGCTTTTGACCTCCTCTGTGCTATCACAACCTGTAGTGACCTTGAGGAGAAGCGCACTGCCAGCCAGCCGTCCCTGGGGGAGGAGAGCAAGCTGTGCAGCGAGGACAACCTGGACTTCAACGGCAGCAGCGCCATCACCACGGAGCTCAACATGGATGAGTCTCTGGTCAGTCAGTTCAGCCGGCCCAGCGAGGGTGGGGATGCCCTGCATGGCCTGCCAGACAACTCCCCGCTCAACCCCCCCGCTGTCTCCCCGGCTACCAACGGCATGCCCAACTCAGTCCCCATCCTTGATTAAGCCCCTTCGCATCCTTTGGGGGCCGCCAGACCTCAACATGTCAACACTAATGTGCCCATACGCTCCTGTTCCCTACCGACTTGCTGATCTGTAGTTTACCAACTTGATACACAATCAATATATTGACTATCCAAATGCCCCTGGCAGTCATCTGATCGACTGGACTGTTTTGACCAAAGGCGTGTCCAAAGTAGTGGACAAAGTAGTGGACAAATAAGTTTGACTGACCTGAAGATGTCTTTTTACCCTCCCCCCCAACATCCCTCCTTTTATCTGTCTAGTTGACATCATGACTAACACTCATTTCTCTCCCTTTCTTTCTCTCTGCAGACAACTCTAAAGAAAGATAAAGACAGAATGTGCTACAGGTAGAAATATCAGAGGGGTTGTAGGGACAATCCTATATATAGATGCAGAGTAGAGCATTGAAAGATGAGGCTGATGGTAGAGCCTAGTGCGGGGAAACAGACAGCACATCCTGCTGTCAAAAGTCTGATATTTATCAGGCCTTATATTAATTCTCACATTTGTATTTTTTTTTACCATTTGACGTCTCAGATTGTACCTCCAAGTGACATTGTTTTCTTTTTTACTAATGAGTCATTTTTGTTATCTGCTATTTTTATTTATATCATAATTGTTTCATATTGTTTTCTACACTATTTATATACAACTCATGACTTCTCTTTATTGACATATTACTGAGATCAAGATGTTTTCATTGAAACTAAGTTAAGCCAAGTTTCTTACTATAAATAGCATTGGATGCATTAAGGGGAACTTGCTGTGAACATGCTGAGTAGCATCTGGTGTATATAGCTGCATCTACATCTATCTATTTAGCCATAATACAGTATTATAGATATGTACATGCTCCTTATAAGTTCCTGTGCCTGCTGGGTCTACATAGAGCACCAGATTGATGTCATTACTCTCTCGCCTTCCCACCAGAAGTGTAATGTCATTATTGGAAATGATATTGTAATTTTTTTGTGTCGAGACCTATGTGTAGCTTTCTGTGTGTGTCTTTGTCTCTTTCTACACTGTATTAAAAACATTGTTGTCTCTAATTAACAATCTTTTCCTACCTGTTCATCTCATACTTCGCTAACTGTTTGAGGAGCAGTATTTATGTATATTTACAGATCAGAGAGTGGAGTCTTGTGGGCAGACACTCATGTTTTATTTTCAGACCCTTTTCATTGCAAGTTGATATTGCAGACAGGTGTAATTATTGCCAGTTGATGTATAATTAAGGCAAGCAGTTGGTATTTACATCAAACACAGAGAATGTATTCTTTTCAGAGCTGGGCAGACATTGTATTTACATGCTACTGATTAAAAGAAGATCTGAGCTACAAAATGCTGGAGTGGTTATGTGAAGAACCGTTTTTTTCCTCCACAGAATGTAAATACAACCCTTAAAGATTGTTTTGATGAACCCAACCATGTTTGATATGAAAATGTGCAGGTTTGAAACCACTTAACTTAGTTTAAAGTGTTGCAAGTTGTAATTTTTCTTCTTTGTACTATTGCTATAAATGCAAACTTTCCACTTTTGACAAATAATTGCAGTGAAATTTGGCTGTTTTAGCAAAAAAAAATGTCATGGTTGAGGTGGGGAAAAAAATAAAAAGGGGAAACATTCAAATTGTTCTGTAGATGTTTGCAAACATATTGAAAATCCAAAACAATGTACATTAGTGTCATTTAGTGATAGTAGTAGTTCCATTTCAATAAAAGCTAAGATTGCGTTTATGCCCATAATGCATTGCAGCGCAGTGAATATCTGTGGAGTTTCAGTCTGATGCAGTTATGAGATGCAGTGAGCTGGTTTGTGCATACCACAGGGAGTACCTACATGTATATGCAACGTCGCTGCCTCAGTTCTCCCTATCCAAATAAAAGCTTGACACTGGCCAAACACCACCTGACAGTCCCTGAGGTAAAGTATATGGGATGTCTAAACAGGCTAGTGGCACTGAAGGAGGTGTGTGTAAACTCCCTACTGTTGGTTACACAGACACTGAGGACAAATAAAGCTTTTTAAAAAAAATTATTCTATTTTCATATAGGAGTGATAAAGGCCACACAATATGCCAATATTCTAACTTGACTATCTGCTGCTAAACATCTGTGTTTGTCAGTGTTCAGGGCAAATGTTAGCTTTGAATGAGGAATGAGTGTACACACACAGATACTCACTCGACTGCCACTCTTTGCTTTTCATGTGTCAAGGGGAAAGCTGAGGACACAGGCCTTTGCTTTTCCGCTCTTGTTTTCCCCCTTTTTTAATATCTCAAACATCAAAATCTGTAAAAAAAAAAAAGAAAAGTGAATTGGTTTGATAAGAGCTGCTTCTTCACAACTCAAAAAAGCGGACAGATTCTAAAACAACAATGCCTGAGTAGGAGGGGAGTGGTGAGAGAAATAAGGGGAGGAAGGAGGAGAAGGGAGTGCAGCCGGGGTGTAGATGTGCCTCTTTGTGGAGAGTGGTGAGCACAATGGGACGGATGGTACCTTCGGGTATCATTGCTGAACGACAAGAGTTGGGTTGAGCCAATATAACTGTAACTGCATTATGAATCTACCACTGTAACTGAATTTATGAGTGAAAAATAAAACATGTCCACTACAATCTGTACCAATAAAAGGGTTCCTTCTTTGTCACAAGTAGCCTATCTGGGAATAAAATCCATGCCATGTCACTTTGAATTCAGCAAGTATGACTTAATGAAGATTCAATTAACATTGAGTGTGAGCAATTAAGAGATTTTATTATCACATTGTCAGGGGGGGCAGTGTGGGGTCAGCGGGAGCTGGTGTTGAACTGATGAAAGTAGTCCTTGCTGGGTTTGTTGGTGTAGAGCTTCTTGTTCAGGAACTCCTGACTGGGGACACAGACACAAACACGCAGTGAGAAACTGTTTACAAAGACTGTAATCTTAATCCAAATTCCACTTCATCACCTATACCCAGAATACATTTGCTGACTAGTAGTGACCGAATAGTTTTGTTTGTGCTTACTGTTCCTGCTGCTCTCTGGCCAGCTGCATGTTGTAATGATCCGTCTGAATCCTCTTCTCTCTCCTCAGCTCTTCTGCTCTCCTGTCCTCCTCCTCTGCTTTTCTGGACTGCTTCAGCAGCTGGAGTTCCCAAGCTGCATTCTGAATCTTTTCAGCGTCACGTTGTCTCTAAAGATGGCAAGAAAACAAAGTTCTAAATGATCAACCTGAGTGGAAGTGTTAAGACATGACCAAAAGGCTCAGGGTCAATCTGAGGGGTTTTAGATGGTTAGAAAAAGGACAAGAAGGGAGAAAAAAACATGTTTCTGCTTCATATAATATGCTTATTTATAAAAAATTACTTTTTTCTCTATTCTTGGGTAAGAAGAACTGATTTTTATTTATTTATACTTTTACTATGTCTTTGGTCTCATCCTGTCAAGATATGTTTAAATGTACTCAAAGGTTATACAGGCCACAAAGGGTCAATACATTAGTTTGCTGGTTCTGGGACATTTTAGACTATGTCTAACACAGATAATTTGGTTAGGAAGAATTGTGTTCCTCCCTTCGCTAATATGCTTTTACTTCAATTTGACACACATCTGTGGTTTTATTTTAAGGGGTCACGAGTCAAAAAGTTGGGAACCACAGTTCCTTAAAGATAGAAACAAATACTTCAGAGGAACTAGGAGTAAAGAAAGATGGGACTCGACGATGAATCACTCATGGTGCCTCAGTACCTCTCTCTCCTGGCGCTGTTCTTCTCTCTCCCTGTGGATGGCGCTCAGCTGCTCGGGGCTCATCCCCTTCCACCTGTCCACCAGGACCCGGGCCGCCCTCCTTCCTCCCAACTCTCTCTCCGCTGCCTCTGCACACTCTGTCATCATGTCGGATGTCAGAGTGTGCTGCATCTCTGCACGTTTCTCCATTTCCTCTCTCCTGTGCTGCTCCTTCAGTCTCTCTGCCCTCTCTGCAGTCTTTAGGGAGCAGGACATGGTGAACATTATTACCACTGACCCAGAAACAGCTGATTGATAATTCCCTCAATGGTTTAAAATAGCAAGAGCTTCACAAAACCCAACATCTAATACGTGGTTATAAAATAGAGGAGCCAGCCATTTGGTGAATGTTCTCCTGAGAGATCCACTCAGTTAGTTATATTTGCTTGTGCATTGTGCATGTGAGTGGTTATTAGAGAAACCACATAATTGTCATGAAAAATACCATTAGGCCTACCTGAAGGATTTATAATGAGACCTCCCAATGGAGGACTCAGCCGAGTGCGTTCAGGCAAATGAGGGGACAGCTAAATGGGGGCTTTTAAAATCAGACAAGGCCCACGCATACATCAAAGCCGTTAAACCATGCATGTTGCTTGGTATCAAATGATATGATGGCCGCCTGCCTGCAGCAAGTGTGTGCACGCATCACTTAATATTTTCAATTAGCAATTTTAATTCCAAAATCCCATGTGAGAACAGCATGTCAGGGCTCAAAACCCCAGTGGATTTTGCTTTGAGAATCCACATCAGCGGGTGGTGTGTGTGTCCATCTGTGTGTGCACATGCGTGTACTGTACCAGAGCATGATTGTAGTTGTCGAGTGCGATGCGGGTAGCTTTCTTACACTCCTCGTCTAATGCATGTAGCTGAACCCCCCTCAGGTCCTGAAGCACCAACTCTTTGTTGACGATCATCTCTGTGACACACACACAAGTTGCAAATCACCTACTGTGAGTTTTTGACACCTGCATTAGAGGGAAAACGATGTATTCATACGTACAGAGCTCTTCAATGACACACTCACACATACATTACAGCTTCCAGGGATGTGCATCCATCAATGCCACCTGGCAATAAGAGCTGGGCGTAGGAGTATGTGATTGTTTGTGCAGGAAAGCATGAAGCATGTGTGTAATTTACAGAAGCTATAGGGTACAGAATGATAGCTCATCAGTGTCTACAGTGTGTGTGTGTGTGTGTGTGTGTGTGTGTGTGTGTGTGTGTGTGTGTGTGTGTGTGTGTGTGTGTGGGTGGGTGTGTGTGTGTGTGTGTTTTTCCACCTCTTTGCTTTTCTCCCACGTGCTTTCTCTCATTGTCTTCCTTCTGTGCTCGTAGATCTCTGTCTGTCCTTTTCATTTGTTCTCTCCTCATTTGCTCCTCTCCAATATCCTCTCCCTGTATATGAGTACACAGTGCTTAATGTGGGAGACGTGATTATTTAGATAACATTTCCCTGGATTTTGTTCCACTTGACTTTCATGCAGATTAAGCACATACCTGAAAGAGTGTCATACTGGCAGGCCCCAGTTTACCCTCTGGAGTGGTGCTACTGAACGCCCCCTTCAGGCCACACTTGAGATCAGCATCTCGTGAGTCCTCTACACACTGATGAGTGGCCCAATACTGGGTCAGCTCAGCTTGCAAAGTGTCTTGTTTCTCTTTTTCATCAATGTCTTGCTGCAGCAGAGCTTCATCGTGATACTCTCTCAGCTTATCTGCAATTCAACAAAGATAAAGACACCTGGGATGAAAACTCATTATTGGTAAAGGGTCATTTCGTAAAAGGAGAAGGCCTATGACAGTACTATTACAGGGGGACTCTCAAAAAATATGATCAACTGATTTAATTCCAACCGCTCCCTGTCTCTCATCATTCCCACAGCTTACCGAAAGCTTTGTCTCGTTGTATCTCCATGTTTTGCTGGTGTTTTTTCTTCTGAACCTGTTGGTCGAGAGCAGAAACATCGAGACCCATCACACGGAGCCGAGTGTTGAAGATCCGGGCCTTGCGCTCTGTTTCTGTAGACCTTCGCCTCTCCACAGCATTTTCTATGGACTGGTCTAAAGGCAAATCCACTTTGTACATTTTTTCAGTTTCTATGAGCCTGGAAGGGAAATGACACAGCCTTGATTAATAAGGATCTTTTCTCTTTGGATCACTTTAGTGCAATTTACTTTCATCAATGAAATCAACATCTACAATATCATTGTAAAAAAAAAGCATCCAAAAAGATATCATAATATTTATATCACTTATATCAAGTCAATTGTACTTGTATTTCTAAAACATGTTTGTAATACTGCTCAGTTTAAAAACTTTTTTATCTTCTTAAAACGGTTTTATCTTTTTTTTGTTATGATTTTTCCTTTTTTCTATGTCAACTGGTAGGCCCTCTTGAAAATACTCCTTACATTATCATTGTTTTTAGTAGGCCCCATGTTTGTGATGTGAGTTTGCAATTGCAAATCAGTTGTATATTCATTAGGTACAGTGATCTAAGATCTACATTCACAGCACAGCACTTACCTCTCAAGTTACAGATGTGTCCAAATTATTTTTGTTAATTTTGGGACTTAAAGCCCATATGTAGCTCCTCAGCTGGTCGGGTCATGTTGTGTTTGGATGCATCCAGTAACCATGGTAACTCGTAGTCATTTGCTGCACGCTTTGTGTAATGTTTAACATAAATCACGGATGTAGGTGGATAACTTGCACAAGTTATTTACGCTCTCCAGAATTTACATAACTTTTGTATAAGCCATAATAATAATAATAATTTAACATGACTGGTCGATAACGGCTCAAAATCCTGAGGTCTCAGTGTGGTCTCGCGATAAAGCGCGAGGTTTCATGTCTCGCGCGCTCCGGGGTCTTCCTGTTGGATTGTAAAATGGCGCATTGTTGTCACAACTGCAGCGCGTCTATTTTCTATGGATTAAGTAGCTATTTAGATTACTAAACTTAATATGCACTCCATAATGTGACATATGCTAAAGTCAGCAATAGACTGGACAGAGGGGTTCATTCATTTGCGTGCATACTTCGTCTTTGAGATTGCTTGCTCGGTAAACATTATTAGCATCAGCTAGCTAACATTTTGTGCAGTTTTTTCAAGACAGCGGCACAAATCCAACGAAGATGGGTTATTTAAAACTGATCGAGATCGAGAACTTTAAGTCGTATAAAGGAAGACAGATCATTGGACCTTTTCATAAGTTCACAGCTATCATCGGACCCAATGGATCTGGTATGTTATGATCGCAAATATTAACCCGCGGCTAATGCTAGTTGCTTGTTAGCATTGGCTAACGGTAAACACTTCTGTCTCTTTTAATATCACAACATGTACTTTATGCACATAATGTATGTCTGACTTGCCAAACAGCTGTTGACTACGTGTTAGAATATCTATCCTGCCATCTAACGTTACCATGCTGCACAATGTTGTTTATTTCAATGTTTTCTTTTATGATTTGTGACTACCTACTTCAACACTGTTCCATGTGTGCATATCAATTACTGCTGTACATGACACATCTTTTTTCTGTGTGAACGTTTAGTAATATCACATTTTCTCTTACAAAGTTATAGTTTATAATCTTTGTGATCAAACATCATGCCCAGCGTAATTAAAATAGAAAATAAAGACCCCTCCTTTGCACACCATCCAATGGAGTGTCACAACTAAAATCAGTCTTCAAAATGACCAGGTTTTAATCGACCTCTGTTTAACAGGAAACAATGTAATTAATTTGAGTATAAACTGTGTTTCGATTTTTCGATAACTTAAGATATAAATATTGTTGTTGCAGGAAAGTCCAACCTTATGGATGCCATCAGCTTCGTGTTGGCAGAGAAGACCAGCAACCTGCGAGTGAAGACTCTGAAGGATCTGATCCATGGAGCACCTGTAGGGAAACCTGCTGCGAACAGAGCCTATGTCAGTATGGTGTACCAGGAGGATAATGGAGAGGAGCGCAACTTCACAAGGGGAATCATTGGTAAGATTATTGAGGGCCATGTTATGCATGAAAAACATTAAAACCAGAAATTAGAAGGCATAAACATTACAGCATTTAAAACAAGTTTGACTTTAGATCAATAGTTTGATTGTTCCATATGTCAAAGAACAGATGCCAGCACTCTTCATAATTAAGGATCACATTTTCAAACCGTTCAGTCAGAAACATTAAACTTTGCTTTATTTTTATATTTACGTTATCAAAGCTAGTTATGCAACACATTAAAATATGCAAATATATGTTTAGTATTAGAAACTTCATTGGACAGGTTTTTTGAAAGACCCCAATGTCATCCTGTTTGTGCTTTTTATAAGCCAATGTTTTTGGTTTCTTATCTCCTAACGTGCATTTGGTATTTGCATCAGGTTCCTCCTCTGAGTACCGAATCAACAGCAAGGTGGTGGGCCTGCCTGAATACAGTGAAGAGCTTGAGAAACTTGGCATTCTGATCAAGGCTAGGAACTTCCTCGTCTTCCAGGTGAGAATCAAATCTCTAAATCTTAAATGTTTTTATTTGTAAGACTTGTTGTGGCATTTTCACAACCAAAATTCCCAAATGTTCCTTCCAGGGAGCTGTGGAGTCTATTGCCATGAAGAACCCTAAGGAGCGAACAGCTCTGTTTGAGGAAATCTCTCGTTCTGGAGAGCTGGCCCAGGAGTACGACCGCAGGAAGAAGGAAATGGTGAAAGCAGAGGAGGACACACAGTTTAATTACCATCGTAAGAAAAACATTGCTGCTGAGCGCAAAGAAGCCAAGCAAGAGAAAGAGGAGGTATGTACTGAAATAACATTTACTTCTAAGCATTTGTATCCTGCTTGAACCAGCAAATAAAATGCTTCTTGTCAGCAAAATTCAGTTTAGAGTTTATTTACCAAGATATCCTTGTGGTTAATGTTGCAGTGTGATTACCTACGTTGCAGCAAACAATGTCTTGTCTGAAATGTTCTGTATCCCTAACTAACAGTCATTGCTGCCTGTTCTGACCATGATACTAATGAAAGGATGTTTTTCTTATCTCAATGTAGTGTTCCTGATTAAATAAAAAACAACATTTTGTAAAAGATGTATAATTTACCTTACCACATTCTCTGTCTGTCTCCCATCAATCCTCCAGGCTGAGCGTTACCAGCGTTTGAAAGACGAGGTGGCCAGGGCTAGTGTTCAGTTGCAGCTCTTTAAGCTGTACCACAATGAGACTGAGATTGAGAAGCTGAACAAAGAGCTGGCCCAGCGCAACAAGGAGATCGATAAGGACCGCAAAAAGATGGACAATGTGGAGGAGGAGCTGAAGGACAAGAAGAAGGAGCTGGGCCGACTGATGAGAGAGCAGCAGACCATTGAGAAAGAAATCAAGTAGGTGACATCAATATTCTTAGCTCACTTCTCGGGTCACTCACTGTACTTTATTTAAATGTTGGGCTTGTATTAATCACTTGACTCTGCCCACAGAGAAAAAGACTCTGAGTTGAACCAAAAGAGGCCGCAGTACATCAAGGCAAAAGAAAACACCTCACACAAGATCAAGAAGCTCGAGGCAGCACGCAAGTCTTTGCAAAATGCCCAGAAGATGTACAAGAAACGCAAGGGGGACATGGATGAGCTGGACAAAGAGATGCAGGCGGTGGACTCGACCAAGCAAGAGTTTGAGGAGCGGATGGAGGAGGAGGCGCAGAGCCAGGGCCAGGACCTCACCCTGGAGGAGAACCAGGTCTGGTTTATGTATACTTTATTGGTTTTTAATACATGTAGATTTTATTTAGTTGAAAATGAAACACTACACTTACAGTTTCGTGCCCTCCGCCGTCAGTTGCCTCAACAAACTGTAGGGATAGCACTCAATGGATTCATATGTTTGTCACTGTGTGTGTGTTCCTTGTGGCTGTGTTTTGATATTGATGTTCCATAAGTGTAAGCATACTGTGAAAATCACATTCCTTCTAACAGAGGACAATAATCGTTCTGGACTGGTTCTAATTATTAAGTTAGTTATTCATGATTTTTTTAAGATTGCATTAAAGCTCTCTCTAAGATCCTAACTGACTGTATAGTGTTCGATATGGCTATCTTTTTTGGAATAGGCAGTCTTGGCTTCTCAAAATGAATTCTGTAGCTCAACATTAAAATGGTGGTATGTATAGAAAGCTAGCACATGCAAATCCCAGGGTTAGTTATGCGGTTGTATCTCCAAATATTTTTTAAATGTCACTAAATCACAGGTTTAAAATATAGATGGCTTCGTATGACCCATTGCTCCTCTCTCCCTCCCCCCCCCTCCCCCCCAGGTCAAGCAGTACCATCGTCTGAAGGAGGAGGCCAGTAAGCGAGCTGCCACCCTGGCTCAGGAGCTGGAGAAGTTCAATCGCGACCAGAAGGCCGACCAGGACCGCCTGGACTTAGAGGAGAGGAAGAAAGTAGAGACAGAGGTAAATAATAAAGGGCTGGCTTATCTAAAGCCAGTTGAGTAGCACTTGTTGTTTTTGCTCTATGAAACCTGATGTACTTATATGATTCTGTTTTCTTCAAGTTTGTATTTTGTTGGTCGAACGCACTTATTGTAAGTCGCTTTGGATAAAAGCGTCAGCTAAATGCAATGTAATGTAATGTAAAATAAGATAACGATGGCATGTTAGACCCTCCTCCGACTGAATACATTTGATCTGATTTGAATGCTTACAGCGTACATTTTGTTGTTTCCCTTCAGGCTAAAATCAAACAAAAGATCCGTGAAATTGAGGAAAACCAGAAACGTATTGAGAAATTAGAGGATTATATCACCACCAGCAGGTATGCAGCTATCATTTGTGTTGTGTTTGAACAGTGTTCAGTTTATCGATCTCACAGGTTTCTCAATTATTATTTTTAATTCACTCTTTTTTTCCCTGTTACTCCTCAGGCAGTCACTGGATGAGCAGAAGCGCATGGAGGAGGAGCTGACGGAGGAGGTGGAGGGTGCCAAAAGGAGAATTGATGAGATCAACACAGAGCTTAACCAGGTGCCTAATACACACACACACACACACACACACACACACACACACACACACACACACACACACACACACACACAGGGAAATATCATTAAATGAGTTCAAATGGTGGCAACTCAGCTGAATATCAATGATTTCAGAGTAAGAGACCATTCAGTACCTTATAACAACAACAACAACAACAGTGTCATAAAGCAAGACTTAAACCGGCACCTCTAGCTTACCTGAACTGTACTGAGCCGAAGAAAACGAAAGGACTCCACGTGATGTTTCTCACAGCAGACATTTCCACATATCTGGGAAAAACAAAAGTGTGACGAATGAAATAAATGATTGCTATGATTGCCAGTAAACCAAGCATGCACTGACACTAGTACCTGTGTTTGACCGGTGTGAAAATGTCACTAGGGAAAAGTCCATATCTAATCCCATTATTGTTGGCTTTTGTTGTAGGTGATGGAGCAGCTGGGAGACGCCAGAATCGACAGACAGGAGAACAGTCGCCAGCAGCGCAAGGCGGAGATCATGGAGAGCATCAAAAGACTCTACCCTGGCTCTGTGGTAAGGCAACTGTCATAGTATCCAGCACAATCATATCATTTTCTTATGCTTGGAAGACTTCTGTTTCCCTACTTCTAATAATTCAAGGGTTGAATAAACTCAGGTTGGTAATAAAATATGCCACTCTGTCTCTCTTTCTGCAGTATGGTCGTCTTATTGACCTGTGCCAGCCCACCCAGAAGAAGTATCAGATTGCTGTGACCAAAGTGTTGGGCAAGAACATGGACGCCATCATCGTTGACTCAGAGAAGACGGGCAGAGATTGTATTCAATACATCAAGGAGCAGAGAGGAGAGCCCGAGACCTTCCTTCCTCTCGACTACCTGGAGGTGAACACTAGAACTCTGCAGAAACCCTGCAGCCTGTGCTTTCTGTTTCCTTGCCAATTTAATGCACTTTACAGCCAGCTATCTAAAAACAGC